GGAAAAAAGGGTGCTCACTTGCCCATTTCATCGAAATGGATTCTAGCTGTTTCTCCCCTCCCCACATTCTAAAACTTTATTATATTAAAGAAATAAAAAATTCCCATACTTAAGATAATTGAATATAAAAAATAATGCATTGAAAATATAAACGAACCCCACCACTAAAGAAGAATCATAATATTATAATTTCATGTCATAAACTAGAACTCTATAAATTATAACATCATGGGAGTTAAAATTTTTTAATCCCTCTTTCCTTTCTAATTTCTAGTTGGTTTTCTAATTAAATTAAGCACTGACTAATGATCTAACCAATGACTTAAAAACAATGATTCTTTTTGTCCTGATGAGATGCTTTACTCTAGGTATATATCTTGCTTAGCTTTTGTTGAATTATATTATGCACTAAAATAATGATAGTGATAATGGTGGGCCTGCAGTTTTGGTTAATGTCCTCTTAATATTCGGTTGTTGAGTGCCACTAATAACTACTACTTATGAATCATCTTTCCTTCAAACAAAGCATCCTTGTGTTGGACTCTAGTGCTTGATTTTCCAAAGTGTCAACATGGTTTATAAATTTCTTTTTCACTTTCTCTGTGTTATTTTTTGTGCATATAATTAATGTATGTGCAAGTACTACAAAAACCTTTACACGTGTAAAATATTTCTATAAATAAATAAATAATCTTTAATTTGCTATAATATATTTGCTTTAACTAGTTATAAATCCAATAAATATAATGTTTAGTAGTCACAATTTCTAAATATCAAACTTTAATCAAATTATATATATATATATATACACACACTCACTTGATCCCCCCCCTTTTTTTTCTTTTTAATGAAATTATAGCTTTTAACAAACCTGTAACTTCTATGGTAAAGTTTTTATGTCATTATTAAATTTCTTAAGTTGATCGTTGAAATTTTTTTAACTTGTAATTTATGCAATAAACTTTTATGATTAATAATTAGATTGTAAAGTTTCTACTATGCAAAAGCTCAATTTGAACCAAACAGACCTTGTAGAGTTAATTAGATTCCAGATTCAAACTCAATGCTGCATTATATTCTAAGGAAAAGTGTGGGCAAGTTGTAGTTCCGACCATAAAATATCAGTTATTAAAATTGTAAAATACTTTTTTTAAAATGTTTTTATTAAGAAAGAAATTGAAAAGGTATTGTAGAAAAAATTAATTAAAAAAATTTTGTGCAAAATATTGTTAGTTTTTATAATAAAATTTTGTTAAAATTTTATTAAGTTATTAATTTTGTTATATTTTGTAAAAAATTGATATAAAAAAGTTGTTTAGTAAATTTATTATAAAAATTTATTAAAAAATTTGTTCTTTCAAAAAATGTTAAAATTTTTTTATAAATTAAAAATTATGTAAAGAAATGGATTTTTTAGGTAAAATGTAAATAAAAGAAGA